ACACTCGCTAACAGACACACACACTCGCTAACAGACACACACACTCGCTAACACACTCACACTCGCTCACTAACAGACACACAGTCAGACGCACACTGACACACACACAGTCAGACGCACACTGACACACACACAGTCAGACGCACACTGACACACACACTAACAGACACATTAACACACTCACTTTTTTATTTTTTATTTAACCCCCCCCAGCCTCCTTAACTTTGGGAATGCTGGGGGGGGTTCTCCCTCTCCCTGGGGTCTAATGGGGCTGCTGGTCGGTTGGATGGATGGCGCTGGCAAGGGAGCACTTTCCCCTGAGCGCTCTGCTCAGTTCCCTCGTGCGCAGCAGGGCGATGCTGGGAGCCGGAATATGACGTCATGGTTTTGCATACAATATGATTTCTGCATTGAGGAGTAATATTGGGCAGAAGTTAGCATATTCTGTTGGAGATTTGCCAGGTTTGGGCACAGTAACTACATGAGCCTCTAACCAGTGGTGTATCCTGGTTTTGTGCTGCCCTAGACGGGACAAAACTCATGTGCCCCTCCCCCCGCGCCACTCCCACCCATCCCTTCCCCCCCTCCCCCCGTCCCGCCTTCTAAATACACACACACACACATTCACTGACAGATACGCAAACACTCTCTAACAGAAACACACACTTGCTAACGGACACACTCACACACACTAACAGACACACACTAACAGACATACACACACACTCACATTAACACACTCACTTTTTAAATTTTTTTATTTAACCCCCCAGCCTCCTTAACTTTGGGAATTCTGGGGGGTTTCTCCCTCTCCCTGGGGTCTAGTGGGGCTGCTGGGCTGCTGGTCAGTTGGGCGGGTGGCGCTGGCGAGGGAGCACTTTCCCCGGAGCGCTCTGCTCAGCTCCCTCGTGCGCCGCAGAGTGATGCTGGAAGCCGGAATATGACGTCACCCGACCGCCCGCCTGACTTGTCAATTAGCCACAACGCTAACAAGACATTTGCCCTGGGCATTTGGGGGCGGCTTTTTTTGCCGACACCTGGAAAATGTCGCCCAAGGCAAATGCCTTGTTGGACTCGCGGCTAAAACGTCCCTGCCTCTAACATTCTTTCCCTGTGTGTTTAACATGGTTATATATGTTTGTCAGATAAGGAGTCAGACTGTGAGCTAGTTTAATGTAATAATAATTGGATAGTCTGTCAGGTCCAGGGGCTTTGTGTTTTGGAAGGGTGATTATAGCTTTGTACACTTCCTTTGCTATGAGTGGTGCGTTTAACATGCATGTTTGTTGCTGTGTGATTGTTGGTAGATTTATGTCATTGAGGAAAGTTTCAATGCAGTCTAAAGTGGGTTGTTACATAGTTACATAGCTGAAAAAAGACTTGTGTTCAACAAGTTCAGCCTTTGTGAGGCTCAAAGATTATTTTTTTTAAGTTATATAAGTTGTTGTAGAAAAGGGCTAGTTCGTTCACAATATCTGTTGGATTATTCACTTTAATATTTTAACCAATTTTTTTAGTCTGTAAATATTAAGTTTTCAATTTATTTGCCAATAACTTGCCAGCTTTATAGCCTTGCATGTAGTGACAGAGTTTAAGAGCTTGCAAATGATACACTTGTATCATATCGTACTAATCATGCTAATTAGAGATGAGCGGACACCTGGATGTTCGAGTCCAGCGAGTTCGGCCAAACTTTGAAAAAAGTCCAGGTTCGTGATCGAACTTGACCCCGAACTTGATCCCGAACCCCGTTGAAGTCAATGGGGACCCAAACATTTGGCCGCAAAAATGCCTCTAAAAAGTCCTGGAAAGGGCTAGAGGGCTGCAAAAGGAAGTAAAATGGGGGTAAGAGTAGGGCAAGTGTCCTGCAAACAAATGTGGATAGGAAATCACTTAAAATAACATAAAAATTAAAAATACAGCTGAGCCAAAAAATAGCACTAGATGGAATCTTTGATTTTAGCTTTGGAAGTATATAAATCAAAATCTAAAGCATGGCTGTCAGGAGGATCCACCAGAATTATCCATTTGAGAGAGGGTTGGAGTGCAGGATATTCTTTCATTGTTCAAACTGAGATAAACTCCTGATGCATGGAGAAAAGGCTTTCACAAGCCTCTGCTATTGTGTACATAGTTTATACTAAGTCACCCAAAAAAATAAATAAATATATATATATATATATATATATATATATATATTTTTTAATTGGGGTAGCCCCCAAAATATTGGGACATATAAAAAAAGAAAACTCTGTTCCGCAGAGTGACTGACCCGTGCGTGCTGCAGCTGAAACTCCACTATCGCCTGCTGCTGCTCACACAGTCTCTCATGAGGCGGTGAGTGGGAAGGCTGAAGTTACGCTGCAGCGCAGACAGGCAAGCAGCAGCAGGTTGAGAAAGCTGAAAGCGCGCACAGACGGCCCGCACTTTCTGCAGCAGCTCTGATATATCTGGGTATACACCATGGCGGTGTAGGGGGAAGAGGCGGTGGAGGAGGATGAGGTAGCCAACACGTTTAAAAAAAAAAAAATAATTTTTATTGGGGTAGCCCCCAAAATATTGGGACATATAAAAAAAGAAAACAAAGAATAAGTGCACTTGAGTATAACAATGGCTGGGTAAGGCCGGTATAAATGTCTATTCTGCACAAGGTACAGACAAGTCTGGTGGGATCCATGCCTGGTTCATTTTAATAAACGTGAGCTTGTCTGGGCTAAACACACGTTCGGACAATACACTGGCTGCAGGGCAGTCCAGCACCTCCAAGGCATAAAGGGCAAGCTCAGGCCATGTGCCCAATTTGGAGACCCAGAAGTTGAATGGGGCAGACCCATCAGTCAGTAGGTGTAGGCGTGTGCAGATGTACTGTTCCACTATGTTGCTGAAATGCTGCCTCCTGCTAAGATGTTCCATATCAGATGGTGGTGCTGCTTGTTGTGGCATGCTGACAAAGCTTTTCCACATTTTGTCCATGCTAACACTGCCTTCTGAGGTGCCTTCTGAGGTGCTGGCGGTGCCCCAGCTGCGTTGGCGACCTCTTCCACCTCCTCTGCCTTCGCCTTGTGCTTCCACTGAGCCCCCGGTGTCAGTTGGGAATGCCCTCAGCATCGCGTCTACCAGCGTGCGCTGGTAGTCGCGCATCTTCCGATCAAGCTCCAGTGAGGGAATTAAGGATGGCACGTTGTCCTTGTAACGGGGATCCAGCAGGGTGGCCACCCAGTAATCAACACAAGTTAGAATGTGGGCAACTCGGCAGTCGTTGCACAGGCACTGCAGCATGTAGTCGCTCATTTGTGCCAGGCTGCCCAGAGGCAAGGACAAGCTGTCCTTTGTGGGAGGTGTATCGTCTGTGTCCTCCGTATCCCCCCAGCCACGCTCCAGTGATGCCCACGAGCTGCGTTGGGTGCCACACTGCGGTGAACATGGTTCCTCCTCCTCATCCTCCAGAACTGTGCCCTGGCTGGACAATTGTGTACCTGGCCTATGCTGGTGCAGGAACCCACCCTCCAAGCCACTTGTGAATGACTGGCCTGATAACCGTGGAAAAGACCCCTCTTCCTCCTCCTCTTCCTCCTGTGCCACATCCCCTTCCATCATCGCACAAAGCGAAGACGACACTTCACTTTGAGGATTAAGCAGGAACTGACTGGACTGGCACAGCCTCTTTTATTCCCAATCCACAAATTTAGTACTGCCCATAGGGTTTTACATAACAACCAATAACACACGTACATTACAAACGACACTCCCACACAAAATCCTCCCCTCTGGCTGTGATATGATTACTGAACACAATGGTTAATCTAATTATCACAGCCAGAGAAATACAGTTTTTCCACATTATTCATAACTTGAAAAGTATGCATCACATTCACATAATGTAAGCGCACTATTAGACGCTTTGATTTGACTCTGATATGAAGTCCACCCCACTAATGTACTAGTTCACAGAATTCTTTCCTAAGCTGTCCCTCACAGCGGCAGCTGGCCAATCACTGCACTGGCCACTGGCCAATCACAGCCATGCCATTAATAGGCATGGCTGTGATGGCTTCTAAGGGCAAACAAGTCAAACGCTTGTTGATTGGCTGCCCTGCAGCCTTTGAAAATGCGCCATTAAATCACCGAACTCCAACCCGAACATACAGTGATATGTCCGTGTTCAGGTCCGGGGGTTCAAAAAACTTAATGTTCGCTACGAACCCAAACTTTATAGTCCGGGTTCGCTCAACTCTAGTGCTAATAATATACGTGTAGTGCTGTGCTTTGAAGGTTTTTTTTATTTAACTCGTCTAAGGATTGAAATTCATTGAGAAGGTGTATCCTGGTTGTGCAGGCTGCCTTTTTCAGAGAAGAGCCAAATTTTATAAATTCCCTCCTAACTACTGTCTTGTGAGCTATCCGTTGTGAATCAATTTGTACATCCATGGTATTCTTCTCCACAAAGTAATTAGTTATATGTAACGGCACCCTCAGCATTAAATAGACAAACCGCCGTTTAGTGAATCCTCCCCTCTCACCATAGCACAAGCTTCATTCGTATCAACTGCAACCATACGAATTGCAAGCAAATCCCAAACGGGACCTGTACGGGTACTTCACTTCCCGAACTCCAAACTCCAGAATCGCCGCTAGTAGCCGAACTCCTATATCTCCCAAGCGGCTAATATTCCCATCCGGCAGTCTCTATTCATCGGTAATAAATCCCCCCCAATAACGAGACCAAGCTCCGCATTGAGGGTAAAACATGAACTGGGTTTACTGTGGGCTACCTGCCCGTATTTATGCAGGTCTCCCACTTGGTGCACACTCCCCAAGGGGACCAAATGGCAGATGGAAATACGGCATTTCAGGACACACAGGCACATAATATTCCCAGCATGCATCATGGTTTCCTCCCCTCTACCCTGGAGATCATTGAGAAGTAATTCAATTATCTCCCAGGACAGAGGCAAATCGCCATTTTAGATACAAACCAAAAAACACATAAAAATACATAACTTTACAATTGCCGAACATTTCTCATTCGTGTAACACATCCCCAGATAGCCTAGATCTGAGTGCATATTATTGGCGAATAGCGCTCAGATCCCAGACGCATAGTTCAATCGCCATGGAGTCAAAGTCTATTACAGTCTTTCGGTATGCGATTGACTCCATGGGGAGGCTATCTGAGTTAAAGTGCATTCGTATACTTTTGTCGATTTGAGAAGGGAGGTCGGTGGCTTCAGCGGTGTTCGGCGGAAAAAGTGTCCGTTTTCAGTTCCATAGAATCTGGGCCGAACACTGCTGGTCTTTCGCCTGTTTAAAAATGGCCACCGCCTCGTGGTCGACATACGAACGACGACCACCCTGCATTCGGTTTTAATTGAGAGGTGTCTGCGGTTAACCATACCGTTCTAATTGGGATCAAGAGGTTAACCAGCAGCACACTTCTCTTCTGGGTGGCAGTCCGTTTGGTAGTTTTGTTCGCCAGAAAAATCTATTAAACGAACAGGGGCATACGAACGGGTAATTCCACGAAAAGGAAAAACAGACGAACCAACAATCCCAGTCTATAAAGATGGATCTGTCACATTATAGTTTTGGTAATAGTGGGTAACATTCTGGTGTAAGCTGGGTATAAGAATCTAAGTGTTATTGTAATTGGGGCATAGTCGGACAATGTACATTTACCTATGGCGATATTAATAAGTTTTAGAGGGAAGATTTGTTCACTAAACATAAATCTATTCGAGTGTACATGTGTTTTCTTGAAAAATATATGTAATCTTTTTCTGCTGGGACAATTGCATGCCAGGTATCATACAAATCATGTAAATTTTACAGATTGTATAGATCTCTACTGTTAATTACAGATGTGGAAGTGTGGCATTTATTTCTTTCTCTTTTAATATCCCATTCTGAATTCAGCGTGGAATTAAGTCCCCACAGATGATTATGTGGCCCTGCATAATCGAGGTTATTGTTTTCAAGAATTTGCGTAAAAAGAGATATTTGAGATTTTTTTGGGGTGTATAGGGTGTATATTTTTATTGGTGAGCCATGTAGTGTTCCCACCAGTATCGATAAATGGCAGACGTCATCAACATGTTTCATAGTTAGTTGAAATCCCCAATCTGTGTGAAAAAATATTGAGGTCCCTTTGGTTTTATGTAATGAGTATGCGTGATATGCTTGAGAATATTTTTTGGTATATGTGAAAGATTGGTATGGTATACCGTTCAGTTGTCTCCACTCCCTGCTATTTTATTCACTGGATTATTTTGTTTATTTTTTTGTTGTTTGGTAAAACATTTGTTTTACCAAACTGAGACCACCCTGGGTACCAATTAGAACGTGGAACACTGAGTAACTATTATTTTGTTAATAATGGCCAGCATCCTACTGTCCTACCAGCAGTTTTTTCTGAAATGGCTATTCCTGCTTTGGATGACCGTCTGGCTTCCATCCGTGATACCTGGATTAAAGTTCAATCTGCTCTGGGTACTGCTGCTGACCATTTCAAACATCAGGGCCGCCATCAGGGCATGACAACCACAACGGTTGTCATGGGCCCGGCGGTCCTGGGGGCCCGGACTGCTCAGGTCATCCGGGCCCCACATTCAGTGGGTACATACCGGGTCGCAGGGGGCCCTGCGACCCGGTATGTACCCACAGGGCCAGCCTCTTCTCCTGGGAGGCCCAGCAGCCGGTCACCTCAGGGGCCCCCCAGAGGCTGGCCCTGAAAGCCGGCCGGCCGGCGCGCGAGGGAGCACTCTCTGTGTGCTTCCTCTTCAGCTCCCTCGCGAGCCGCGTACTGATGCTGGAGCCGGAAGATGACGTCATCTTCCGGCTCCGGCATCAGTACGGCGCGCAAGGGAGTTTAAGAGGAAGCACACAGAGTGCTCCTCAGGCCCGGCCGAAAGTGTCAGGTGGGGAGGAGGAATTAAATGGGAGGGAGGGGAAGAAATTAAATTTGATGGGGGGGGGGAAGAAATGGAATTTGAGAGGGGGGGAATAATGAAATGGGAGGGGGGGGAATTAAATTGGAGGGGGGGGAATGAAATGGGAGGGGGGAATTAAATGGGAGGGAGGGGGAAGAAATTAAATTTGAGGGGGGAAGAAATGGAATTTGAGAGGGGGGAATACAATGAAATGGGAGGGGGAGTAATGAAATGGAGGGGAGGAATTAAATTGGGAGGGGAGGAATTAAATGGGAGGGGGGAAGAAATGAAATTTAGGAGGGGGAAGGAATGAAATGGGGAGGGGGGGGGAGGAATTAAATTTGAGGAGGGGGAAGGAAATTTAAATTTTGAGGGGGGGGAAAGGGAGGGAGGGGGGAGAGGAAGGAAATTTGAGGGGGGGAGAGAGGAAGGAAATTTGAGGAGGGAGAGAGGAAGGAAATTTGAGGGACGGGGAGAGGAAGGAATTTTTGAGGGACGGGGAGAGGAAGGAAATTGGAGGGGAGAGGAAGGAAATTGGAGGGGAGAGGAAGGAAATGGAAGGGGGAGAGAAGTAAATGAGAGGGAGAAGAAGGAATTTGGAGGGGGGGAAGAAGGAAATTGGAGAGAGGGAGGGAGGGAGGGGGAGAAGAAGGAAATAGGAGGGAGAGAGGGGGAGAAGGAAATTGACGGGGGGAGGGGGAGAGATTGACATCCATTACACACAATGCACCCCTTGCACACAGAAAAATACACAATGCATTACACACAGACACACGTACACAAGCAATGCATCCCTTACACACAATGCACCCCTTACACACACTCAATGCATCCCTTACAGACGCACACACTACATCCCATACATACACAAACTCATCTTGCAGCTCTTCCACATACAAACACAGATTCACACAATGCATTCCTTACACACATCAGGACATCCCCCACACACACACTCCACTCCCTGTGAACAAACTCATTGGTGGAACAAGAAGGTGGACCCTGGGACCCAGACCTTGAGCTGTGTAAAGGGCCCTCAAAAAAATGGAGCTGCTTCCCGTTCTCCCAGAACAGTGATTTTTGTGACCACAGTTACAAACCGCCTCCAGAGAGCCTGTTGTACACCAGACCAGTGGAGCCAGACGGCAGCTAGAGCCCATCATCATCCTCATCTGGTTGTAAGTAGGCAATCTAGTATATTATTCATGGCACTAATCTCTAATTTACCTCACATTAAAGGGACACTATAGTCCCCAGAACCACTGCAGCTTAATGTAGTGGTTCTGGTGTCTAGCCTGTCCCTGCAGGCCTTTTAATGTAAACACGGCGGCACTGCAGCACTGGTGTTAGTTAACATGGCAGATCATATGGGTGGGGCATTGTGATGTCCCATTGTGATGGGATTCGGGGGGCAGCACTTTGGGCGGACCGGGGGGCCCAGACCTTGAGCTGTGTCAGGGGCCCCAACATTTCTGATGGCAGCCCTGTCAAACATTATGCTGATACACGTCGTTGTGCCAACCCTGTTTACCAAGTGGGTGAGAGGGTTTGGTTATCTTCTCATAACATCAGGCTCAAAATCCCTAGCATGAAATTTGTTCCTAAGTTCCTTGGAACTTTTTGTGTCCTTTGTAGGCTCAATACTTTCTGGCCTCCTTGAAAATTCCTAATACCTTTCATGTGTCTTTACTCAAACATCTTGTTTGCAATAAATATACTGTCTCCAGTATCCCTCCTCCTCCCTTAGTTGTTTCTGGACAGGAAGAGTATGAGGTCTCCTCCATAATTGATTCCAGGTTTTCTCGGGGTACTTTACAGTACTTAGTGTTCCGTCATCATGCTAGCCGCAATATTAGCTACTTTCACAAGTTTCCTCTCAAGCCTGGTCCTGCCCGCCCGGTGGGCATTCATCAGGTGGGGGGTAATGTCACGTATTCATCTGCACATAAAAATGTGATTAATGGAATTTACTGTCCTGACAGGAAAAGTTGTGCTGAGCAGCATTTCACAGGAGGGTTTGTGCTGAGCAGCAATCATGCAAATAGGAACCTGTAAACTGCCTTTGGGGTCAAAGGCCGGTTACAACCAATCAGATCCACAGGCGAGGTATTTAGGCCCAGTTCTCCTCTTGCTCTGTGCACTGTCGTGGTTTCCCTTGTGGTTGTCCGAGAGCGCGGTATTGATTCTGTTTTTTCTGGTTATTTGACTTTGGCATTGATATTGACTTCCCTGATTTCTGGCATCCCGGACCCCCGGCTTTTCCTTATCGTTGTGTCTCTTTCTGTATCCCTTGACCTCGGCTATTTCTGACTATTCTTTGGTACGTTAGTCGAGCCATTCTAAGGTCCGGTATACATTACCTATCAGTCCTCTGTTTTACACAATTCTACATGCTCTAATCCTGACACTAACCTATGGAACTGATGTTACATACCTAAGTTGGGGTAGACCGAGTTAAGAGAATATAAATACCCTTCTAAAGATTCTTCAATATTAATATACAATGTTGATTAATGTTGATCCTTAAATACTAAGGGCTTATACTCCCCACACAAAAGACGCTACTACATGAGTTAAAAAAAATCTAATGCTCATATAGCATTTTTCCAAGAAACTCACTTTAAATGGTGCAGCCAACCCATTTTCACTCTTGTTTTTCAAAAAAAGAAAAGAGGAATTGTAATTCTTATAAGCAAAGACAAAGATTGTGGTAGCCCACAATCTGTACTCCCAGATAGACCACTTTCGTCTGCACGGATCGCTTGTTACAAATGTGGGCCTAATTTCATAGTCAGACCGTGCACCAATCAAGTTTCCACTGGGAACACAGTTCCCCACCAATGAACACCTCCTCACAAACCCACAAGTACTGGAGGATATCTGTAAAGAATAAAAACTGTTTTTTAATTAACAAGGCGTATATTCAGGGAGTATTAAGAAAACACGCGAGCCAAGCTAAGTTACAGAGACTCAAAGCCTACTTGTACCTCACTAAATGTCTCACAGAGCTGTATATTAATAATAAATTGTCAGCTTTGTGTCATCAAGCACAAGAAATTAAAGAGGTTAAACGCCAACTTTTAGAACTAGAAAAAGCCCAAACAAATGTTCTACTATGCAGATTTGAACAATGATATTTTGAACAAGCCAACGGGGCTGGAGCCCTCTTGGCTTCACAATTAAAAAAGAGTTATGTCCACTAGGATCTCGTATATCCATTCATCACAGGGACAAAAAAAATCAGGAATTTTGACCATGTCGTTCAGAAATTTGCTAAATGTTATAACTCGCTATATAACTTAAAA